TCTACAATAGCTATAGTATTTGGTCATTTTCGATATTAGTTTTAGTATATAATTATCTACCTATAAAATTTACACATCATTATTATTATTGCTTAAGTGAAACTATTATGTGTTGATGAAACTATTATGTATATTGCTTAAGTGAAACTATTACGTAATAACATGGTTGATGAAACTATAATATATATAAATTCATAATACCAGTTTTTATAATTTAAACTTTTACTTAAAGCTAATTTTATATGTAATAATAAATAAAATTAATATATTCTGATATATTAATTTTTTCTATAAATACAGATTCAGATCATAACATAACTTGCTTATATAATAAAATAAATGAAAGAAGAGCTACACAAGCAAACTGTAAACGCCGCAAAAGACAAGAACCAGATGTAGAGTTGGTAAGAGCTCAGGAGACTGCAGCAAAACGTAAAAGAAGAGCTGCTTTATTACCTGCACAACAGCAGCATATCAAGAACAAGACAAGATTAAGAGACGTTTAGCAAGAAATAAAAATTGTATACCATCTTCATGCAGTGAAGCTCTTGGTTTTACTAGAGATTTTCCTCTTGAATTAGATGTTGGTAAAATAGATATTGAATGCCGTCATTGTGGAGCACTTCATTTTCAGGGAGAGCAAACTGGCAAAGACTTAGACCAATTTATATTCTGTTGTTATAAAGGCACTGTTGTATTACTATCTTTATTACCATTTCTTGATGAGCTAAAATTACTTTTTCTTAGGAATTATCCACTATCCAAACCATTTCACGAACACATTCGCAAATATAATGGTGCTTTGGCATTTGCCTCTATTGTATCAAATATTGAAAAACCTTCTGGTTGTGGACCATATATATATAAAATATCAGAACAAATATATCACTTTCTTGGACCAGCACAGCCAAATGCAAATGAAGTTCCAACCTTTGGACAACTTTATTTTATGGAAACAGCTGATACACAAATGCACTGAAACAATAACTCTATTAATGCAAATCTTAACTCTAATTTGTTATTATTTTAGATAGAGTGCTATGACAAGTAAGTCCCTTTGCTCAAGTATTTAAATGATGAGGGAATTACAGCAAGAAGAACATAATATAGCAATAAATCAAGAATGCCAACTAATGGAAATTCAGATGGTTTTTGAAAATGATTGTTATCTTAATCAACGCTAATATAATGCACCACATATTAATGAAGTTG